CACACGAATTAATTTTTTTTTAAAAAATAATACCATTAATAGAATTTATACATTATACATTTGTAAACAATAAGGACGAATTAAAGTCAATATTTTCTTTTGAAAATAACAACAAGCAATTATTTATTAATTTACTTACTTTTTCCTGTTTGTTCACTTTTATCATGATCTTGCTTGTTTTATAACAGTTAATTTATTCACCTTCCTCTTAGCTTCCTATATTTGCTTGCCGTTTTTCGTTCCTGATTTTTTTTTTTTGCTCGTCCGCCGCGTCACAAATTAAAGGGTATTACTCTGATTAATAGCGTGGCGAAAATTCTCGTTTGGCCGGCGGCGATGCCAAAGCTGGACGAACGAGCGTTTTCTGCGCCACTGGATTTTCCGCGCTAATCCGCCTTGTGCTGGTTTTTGGTGTGATGGCGTGGCGCGATTTTATCAGCGCCGGCCAAAGCAAACAAACAAGCCGAATTTCGTCGGTGTGCTCAAATTACCCGACACGACGCACGCCTAATCACAGTTATTAACCGCAGGTGAAAACCGTGATTCGCACATCATTGGCAAAACGTACACGTGCTGTGTGGTTTTTTTATTACTCTGCAGCGCAATCGCCAAAACTCATGCCAGTTTTGTTTGTTTGAGTCGCGAAAGGGCGCCCCGGAGTCTCCGATTAATTCCGGCGCAAAAGTGTAAATTCGCATTACGGACTCAACTTTTTATACAACTCGGAGAGAAATGCATTTCTCTGTTTCATATTTTCCGTCCGACCCGCTTGCCAAGTGTCGTTAAGGCGAATTGCACAAATTATTTCGCCTTAATGGCCACCTAGGCCACTGGGTTTGAGTTTAAGCGCTCGTGAAAGACGTTTGCCGGCGACTGCTTTTTGCAATGAAAGGAAAGAGCAAATTTACCCCGCAAATGGAATTCTTGTTCTAGACTTGGCTTTGCACGACTTCAGAAGTATTTCCAGTGTTTCATTTTTAATCTGCAAAGTTCTCATGTCGTTTCCACTTTTTGTTTGTAAGATATTTCTTTAATAATTAAGTAAGAGTCCTTGCATTGAATAAAGTCAGCTACGAATTTCATAATAATATAGAAATAGTTTATTAATCTATAAATACAAAAGGACCTCATTATATAATGCTATTTTTTTCATTTTTTCATTAGACAACAAAGTGAAACTGTATAAACTAAAAAAACCTTTTTCAATGATATAAAAAAAATAAATAATAATATTATGCCTGTTTTTTTTATCAAACTGTTGCAAATATTTTTATATGAGCCATTTTTTATCTTTTGAAGAAACTTTTCTTCTCAATTTTAAATAAATAATTCAAAGATTAAAATGTTCCTATGTTTTTTGTATACTATAATTTCAAGAATACGTATTATGCTATTTCATACATTATTCTGACATTATTTTTGATAATCAAATTTCTACTATTATCTTGATTAAAAAAACTTAAATTTATGATTATCCTTCTTCTTCTTTTAAATATTAGAGATAGTTAAATTTTTGATATCATTTTAAATTTTTAGAATTGTGGCTTATCATTAAATTCAGTGATTTAACAGTTTTACACACTGTTTAGAACTCATTTTGATAAAAAAATTAATATTTAAAGAGTGCTAAAAGGAGGGAACGAATATTTTATTTACATATGGCGGCTGATTCATCTAAATTGTGATTTGTGATTATTTTATCTAATTTAGTGACGCTACTTTTTCTATAATTTAATAAAAAAGCACTACCGTCGAAACAAAATATTTAACAGCTTTCTCAAGAACCAAATTACTGATAATTATTTGTTTAGAATTAAACAATATTTGGAAATTGTTTTAAATTTCTTTCGATATAATAAATAAACTGCCAGTGACGCGAATTCGGAATTTTTTTCTTCTGTAAATCTTATATCGCTGTGTGAGCAAAGGTCGAGCTGTGCGAAAGAGTGCTGCGTTGGTTGACTCGAGCGTAATCTGTTATTGATTGGCTCAATGCTGGCTCGACTCTCTCGCAACACCTATTAAGGGGCTGCGAGTCAACGTGCATGCTCGACGATAAATTACTCACTCGGTCCGCCTGCCTGCTGGAAAATTATATAATATTTTCTTCGTCAGTTTCGCAGACCATAAATTTCGCCGTCGCCGTTATATTGTGTGGCTTAAAAACTTTTTTATAATGGGATTTCTGTCGCCCCGTGCGCGCACCGTTATTAACAAGAAGTGAGGCAAGTTTGCTTTGAGGACTTTGGTATAGCTCGAAATTCTTTTATTGAAGCTATGTACAATTTTTCTCCACTAAATGTTAGACGTGAAGTGCTTGAGCTATTTTTATTAACCTAGTATGAAAAAATAAAAATAAACTGCAAGCAACTTTTTAAATTTTTTTCTACCAAAGAGATTAAGCCTGGTTTTTATTTTCCGGATCATATTTTTTAGCAATTTTATATAATCTGTTTAATAAACAATCCTAACTAAAATCATAACAAAATTTCAAATAGAAAGTTTTTAAATCATACATGTTTAAGCTTGCATTCGATGATTGTTGCGATATAAATACAAACGTTAATATAAATGAAACATCATTTTTTGATTTCCATTGTAATTGAGACTTTTTCTTACTCTGATTTTCCCCTTTTGTTGTTAATTAATTTTTTTTGAGCATGTATTTGGGCAGCGATTGCCTGTTGACATGTCAATAAACTCAATTTCTTTCAAATGCCCTATATATGAAGGGGGTTGAAATATTCTTTGTATACATAAAAATAGTAAAAAACTGTTAAAAAATAGTAGACGTATTTGCGAATTGTGATAAATACATCAGAACTTCCAGTGCACGGTGCATTGAAGATCGTGAAAAATATAATATTATCAAAGAGTACATTTTTTTTTTAATAAATTCTGTACTTGACACATTCTTGCGCAACAGTGGCGGCTCGTTTCACAACTGCGCTGTTAATTCAATCGGCGAAGTGGCAACGAGGAACGCCGTCGAGTGTGCAAACATTTCATTTGCGCGCCGAGTGGCAAAGATTGTGTCGAGCCACTTTGAAAAGAGGATTCACCGGCTGAAATCGTGTGAGACACAATGAGGGTTGACCTGCCAGCATAAATATACATGCAGAGATGAATAATTAGACACGCTGGCTGGCTGGCTGGCGGCAGGTGCCAAATAGTCGAGGAACAAAGAGGCCTGCGAGGCAGAAAAGGGTTCAAGCGTGCAGGCTCGGTCTAGCTGGAAAAGCGGCGTGAGTGAGAGATTGAAAGACACCGCAGCAACTGCAAAGTGTGCTGCAGGCGACAGGGGGTTGAGGGGGCAAAGAGAGAACCTCATTAGTCTCATTTCTGCCGGTGCTCGTTCCACATTTCAGCGGATTAAGCCCGCGTCCGTCCGAGCCAACACACACACATAGCAATTTTCGTCGGCTGCATATTTTTCATTTTCACATTTTTTTTCCTCGCTGCCGCCCTTCGCATGCCGAGTGATGTAAACGGCGCTCGGCATTTTGACGGGGCAGCCGAGCGTAATAAAGAGCGCCTTTTTCATTACCACGCGTAATTATCACGCTCTTTAAAAAATCCACTTGCCGAACGTGCGCGGCCTCTAAATTTACACGACTTGTGGTTTTAATTAAAAAAATATGAAATGTCTCGTGGTGTCAAATTTAACAGCTCGGGTCAAAGAATTTGTTAAAATTATATTATTGATGAGGAAATAAATATGTTAAGTTGCCACGTTATTTTAGAATGTTAAAAGATTTTTTCTGTTGGATATTTTACTTACAAATTTGATATAAAATATAAATCGATAATACTTTATAATTTAAAAATTTATTTAAATTGTTGTCGTTCTGTAAAATTTGGACCACTTCACGACTCCTTCTTTTATATACACAGCAATAGTGGTAAAAATTTACAAGTGTCGTCCAATAATTGCAAACATTTGTTTCTATTGACTGTGTAATTAAGGAGTCCTTAATTAAGCGCGGCCTCAATTTTTAATAAAATCCTACTCAAATGCTTTGTTATCTTCATCTTGCTTTCGATTTATTGATTTTTTAAATTGATCAGTTTAATAATGTCAAATGAATTAATTTAAATCGACATACTTAATTATTAGTGTCTAAACCGGTCAAAACATTTATGCTTCAATTCTGAAAAGTCACGTAACTTTCAATTCTCAATTTATGAGCTTATAATGGCTCCTGACATTACATCTTCAGGATTCGATACTTCCATAATGCTTTTTCCTACTTTTTTTTTGAGAAGAGAAGATCAAGAAAATCCAATTTTGATCGGGCTAAAAGCAATTATTATCACGCTGAGAAGTTTGAAGAGAATTACCGGTTTGGAAAGCCTTAGCAAAATAAAATCACTTTGAGTCAATTTCATTTCATCCGCGGACAAAGAAAGCCGCCCTCATTGTTCGCTGATCTCGGCGGGCCGTATTTGCGGTGAAAGGGGATATTTATTTGGCCGCGCAAGCCGGTTGCTTTTGTAAGAAATCAATCATCCGGTTGATTTTTCGCCGTCGAGTGGGTGGATTATGTCTCGAGGTAAACAACTCGCCGTTTGATTGATCAGCACGAATTATTCCGTGTTGGTTCTGCTCAAGTTTTCACCATTAAAGCTGGGTGGAAAAACACACACACGCCGAGCCTTATTTGTTCAAGTTGTCTCCGAAGCAGGAGAGCCGAATTCCTTGAGGAAATCTCAAGACGCTCTCTCTCGTTGCGGTGCCAATTTCTTATACACGTGCCCCCCGAACCCGTCTCGGAAAAACGACAGTCGAAAGAGAGAGAGAACGAAAGTTGTCGCACCCCCGTGTGTCTTCTGCTGTCGAGAATAAACTTGGGGCGGCCGTGCGGATTTGTCAAAACACATCTTGCCGTAAAAGACAAACAAGACACGCCACAGCCAGAGCTGCCGCGTGCCCAAAATTTTGATGCGCCTCTGTCGTTTCTTTTGCATGTTTTAACGAATTTTCTTTTCCCGTGTTTCAGGTGAGTCCGGTTCTGTGGTTTCATTTCCTGTGGTTGCTAAGACTCGCAGTTTTAAAGAATTGGTGAGTTGCACAAAAATTCAAATTAATAATACAATTTTTTTTATGTTCATTTTGAAAAAAAGAAATCGCCCAGACGGTTTTTTGTGATAATTGTGTTTCTATTTATATTAATCTCAAGTAGGAAAATTAAAACAATACAACTTTTTTTCTGGTTTCTAAATTCCTTTAGAGATTAACAAAAAAAATGAGGCTCTGGAAAAATAAGTTTTTTTTTATAAGGTGATTTTTCACCTGAAACAAGTGGCAAATAGCAGACAAAATGTTCTATTTGAAGATTATGTGTTTTGAGCTGTTTATAAGTGGTACCTTTTTAATGTTTTTTTTTTTTTAAAGAGATTAGGTCATTAAAAAATTAAATCGTCGCCAGAAAATCTCAAAATCGGTCATTCTAGGTGATAATTGATTTCAACCACTCAAATATCTGAAACAAGTAATTTCTAGGAAAAAAGGTAATTAAAAAAATGAAAATTTTAACTTAAAAAATATTCAACAATTTATTATTTTGCATTTAGTTCGTTTTGACAAATGGGTTGAAAATTTTGATCACCTCTTCCTGTAGCCATGTCTTCCCAATTTATTCAGAGAGAATTTTTCTGATTCAAGTCAGGTGCATCAGATTACGCTCTTTATATACGTCCGGCCAGTAATTGAAAGAGATCGGCCGTGGTCGTTATTTTCATCCTCAATCCTAGGTGGTCCAGCCAGTCCTGGTCTCTCATTTTAATCCCCGACTCTATTTATCGGGACCATAAAAGCCAACGATCGGGTCAAATTGCACGCGGCCGGGCTCTTTGTCTTCGGCACCTGTTTGTTGGTTCAAATTGGCACACGTGACCGGTTTTCTTGCTCATTTTATGTATCTCCGGGAATATTATTGATCTCCAGTTTATCGCGCGCGGATCTTGTTCTCTTCATTCCGCTGACACTTTTTTAATATCTCCCGGAATGCGAAGGGGGACGGAAATTCGTGGGGCTGCTGTTTGCATGTGTTTTGAGATGATGCACGTCATGTCATTCTGACGCGTCTGCGGAAATTGTCGGCTGCGCTCGTGGTGGAAAAGAATTAAGCCTGCTCTGCTGGGAATATAGGAGGCAATTTAATTTCGGGCAAAGCCGCGGTTTTCGAGATGAGAAACGGCATGAATATATGCATGACACGCCCGAAAACTTGCTGACTCGCCGTGAGAGAGAATTTCCGCGTCCACAAACCAAATCGAAGGCTGTTAACAAGCAGAGCACCCCTTTGAGCGGGTTCACTCAATGCGACGAGCACTCCAATTAAAATTCGCGTTCAGCGTGGCTTGTCCCAGCGAATTGCATTTCGCACTATCAAATTTGCTAGAGCACAGAAATCTGACTTTGCACATGACGGAATTTTCAAAGAAATGGAAAATTTGCGTAATAATTAGTTTTCTAGAGACATGCAGAGTTAATTTGTTTTAGAGGATAGGGCAAAGAATAAATTTATTTTAACTTAAACTTTGAATTTTTTGAAAATAGTTCTCATAAGTTAAAAGTCTGATTGCAGGACTAAAATTTGTGACCAAATAAGAACTGGAAAATTGTGAAACTACAATTTTTAATCAAATTAGTAACTTTTGACTAATCGCCTTGTTTTGAGTGGTTTTTCTGGGTTTTAACTTCTCAAAAAAAAATTTTTAAATTTACATTTTTCTAAACTATTAATTATATTAACTTAAATTCATTAGTATTAATTCAACTAAATTAGGTATAATTCAGAATAATTGGAAACGGGGCCTCTTAAATAGATTTTTAAAAATAAACAGACGTTTTTTTAGATATTAAAAAATTTCCCATATTTTCTAAATATTTCTTTATCAATAAAAGTGAAAAATCTCCTTCGGCTACTTCACTTTGAAACTTTTTTGGAAATCGCTAGAATTAAATCAAATAGAAGTTTGCTATCAAATCATAATAAAATTGTTTTCGGCAAACAATATTAAACTTATATTTAAAATACTAATTTCTGCACAACAAATTAATTTAGCGTTAAACTCTCTTTTATCTCTAAACTGAGCTTTGGAATTGACAAAATCTTAGCCAAGCTTGATTTGATCAGGCAGTTCAGAGGGTCCAAGTTTGCAGAAATCAAGTTTCTCTCATCTCGGTCGAGCGTCACAATCAACGTAGCAATAATTGGATTGTGACTTGTGACAAACTCTAATTACAAAGGACCATCTCGGCGGAGCAACTTGCTCGCTTTGTATTCTTGAGAAGAGAGGCCGCGCGATGACAGTCCCGACTCAAGACAACAATAACAATAATGCGATTTTGCGTCAACAGAGAGTTCCGATTCAACGCACTTTCTCCTAATCGCTCTCTCTCTCTAGACATCTGTTCGTCGTCGCATTAGCAAACTTCTTCCCGAGCAATCAAGCCTGGCGTCGTCGCGGTCCAAATTAATTAAGCCAACTTGTTGTCGGCGTGACAGAATTAATATAATAATTTCTCGCAAGACAAATTGATGGCCACGCACATATGCAGCCGTTAAATTTCGCTCCGCTGACTTATTGCAGCTCGGCTTTAATGAGAGAATTTCCTCTGGCAGCGTTTACGTGCCTGCTTAGTTGGCGTTGTGTTGTATGGGCGAAATTCGTAATTAAATACGGGCACGCCACCCTGTGCTGTCGAGATTACGCGGCGCCGTGTGTGTGTTGCGAGCAGTACAAATGAATGCACGCACCGGCCGAGCCCAACTCAACTCGCGCGATTCGGTGCAAATTTTAATTAAATTATTAAAGGAATACCAGAGAGAGCATCTTGGTCTCACCACCCGCCGTGCGGGATTAGTTTGCATACCGTCGGTGATGAAATCGTTAAATTTTAATTATTCTGATGTTCATCTGTGGTAAATACTGGCCCAAATTTCAATATTATTATTTTTCCACTATGTTTAAACCTCAGCTTCACTCAGCTTGCGTTGAAGATTCAGGTATTTAATGTAACATTCAAGCTTAAGGTGACATTAATAATTATTATAGTGTATGTGTGCCATTTAATAAATTTCAATTGTTGTTGTAGAAATTCCTGCTAGATATTTGTGGTGAAAAACTTCAAATTTTCACAAGTCACACAATTAAATATGCAATGCATTAGTTAAATAATAATAAAAAAATTCACAATTAATACAATAAAATCTATATTTTCTTATATTTTTATTATTATAAATTTAAAGTAAAATTATTTTGTCTTTTTATTATTTTTAAATTTTAATAAATAATTTGTGACTACCTTTATGGACAGAGAACATCAATACATGTTACCAGAATACAATTTTTTTATATTTCAATCTTAAAAAATGTATTATATATATATAATTTGAATCTATTCCACACAGTGATTATTCAAATAAAATATAAAGTTATGGCTTAATCCTAGACCCACAAGTTTTTATAATACAAATATTTATAAAAAATTATTTATTACTAATTAACACTTATTTTTATTAATTTGCCTGAAATGTAGTTATTCTAAGTGATAATTGCGATAATAAGACTGTACAGTGATCAAAAGCTATTACAGTTTCTGGTCCTTAAAAAAAATTAATGCGTTTTTTATGTTTTTTCATATAAATATCATCTCCATATGCAATATTTTTTTATTTATGAAAGTTAAATTTAATGCTAACACTTGATGTGAATTTCACGAAAAATTGACATTGAGCAAACCACGTTGCAAAGAAAAAATAATGGACAACAGGTCACTTTTTGGGGTCGATTGTGTTTTTCCATTATTTCCTTGCAACGAGGTACGCTCGGTTTAAATTTCCTACGATAGGTATTAAATGAAATATTTCAGAACTCTGTTTCATTTGCTTTTAGTTTTAGATCACAAATATTTTGCGTCAGCCTTTTGCATAAAAATATCTGATGACACGAGGGTAAAATTGAGGCCACATCTGATCAGAATGTCGCCTTGTGACAAATGTAAAATTCGAGCGCTGTTTGAAAGCTTTTTACAATTAATCACCGTCAGCGACTGCAAAAAATGGTTTTATTTACACGAGCTGGTCACACAGCTTCTCTCGCTAATAGAAAAGTCCATATTTCACAATACATGTTGGTCGCGCGTGATTTACTGCCTTTGGCGTAAAATTTTCTCTCGCATTTTTCAAATCAAATGAAGTCGCAGGCGTAATTTAGCGAAATACAACAAAACACGTGCGATTTCTCGCTCTATTTACCACGGCGCCAAAGCTCATTTGTTATCAACAACTATACATGGCGAGGCTGAACGACATAATTTATTTCAAGCGCGAGATGGGATCGGTGCACGAGAGCTGCAGGCTTTACATCATTTGCAGCGATTACCGGCGCGGTAAACAAGACATGAAAATCAGATGTCGCGAGGAAATCGTGTGCAAGTGACGTACGTGCAGCACTGCAGTTGGCACGACTGAATTTGTCTTTTTCTATCATTTCCTAGCTGATTGCGATTAGATGGAGGAAGAAGTAGAGAAATCAATTCAATGAAAAAGGAAGATTTTTTCGCTAATCCGTTCTAATTTTACGCCTCAGGGAACACTCGGAGGAAATGTACTTCTTTCCAGTTTGACGAGACGGAACATTTCCTTCTTTTTCTTTTCTTTCAGCAGCTGGTCAACCTGTCACGACGAGGCCAAGTTTTCCCAGCAAAAGCCTTTCCAAGTATCGTATTTTAAACAGAACAAATGATACGGAACTGCAGCCGTCCAGATAATACCAAGCCATGCAGATTTCTGCTGCATATATCACGGAGCAAACGCTGGCCATGAATACTAATCCGCCGCGAACGGGATATTTATGGACCTGCACATGTTGGGCCTCGGGCCGGCGCGATTTCACGTGAGACCCGCGCAGTGTGCGAATTTTTCCAAAGTTAAGCGCAAAAATTTTCATTGATCCGCGCACAATCGCAGCTTTACGGCCGCGCAAAAAAAGATAAACGATTTGAGCGAGTTTTAATCTCCCTCGTGAATTTTGAGCAGAATTATTTCCACC